ACGTTGGTGGCTCATCTCTGTTATCCTAACTACTCAGGAGGCTGAAATCTGAGGGTCACAGTTCAAAGTCAGCCTCCGCATGTTTCTTCTCAGCGTGCTTCCTGTGTTCTGCTTGAGGTCATTTAGTAATATCTGCACAAGATTGCACTTCCCAGAAGAGAACTGTCCAGTCTCAGCTCAGTTGTGTTGTGTGTGAGGAACCTTAGGTTAAACTGAATCTTTCAGATTCCCCCAGACTCCTTATAATTCAAGGAATGAGAGGCTTTGCCTGTGGGCAGCATCCTTAACAAGTACTTACTTGAAAACATTGCGGAGCAGAGTGAAGGAAGAGACAAACTTGTAATGTTTTGTTTCAGAACAAGCATGTGACTTTTCATGGGAACCTACTACTGCTCAGTTTCCTGAGATGCCCCTTGCTTTTCTTAACCCATGGGCTGAAGGTTCATTGCTGGCTCAGTGAACAGCAGACAGTGCCATGCAGGTCTTCTTCAGGCTACGGACAGAGTAAAAGGAAATAGCCTTACTCAGAAATCAGGTGAGGCTGGAGGAGAACACCTTGACCTGAACAAACCAGGAAGACTGCTGGAGCTCCTGGAGAAGGAGTGGAGTCATCCTTTACTAGTGATTTCAGATGAAGAGATCCTCCCATGTGCCCAGGAATGAGCCTCTTAATACCCAGGCCCTTGAAAAAGATCCTTAGCCTGTTGGTGCTGCAGAGACATTCCAATCTCCTAGGCACAGTGCCTAATGCTTACAGTTGCAGGAAGAGTTCCCAGGTCCACTGCTAAATTCCAGTATTTCTAATGACTCAAGGTTCATCACCAGATCCTGGCCAACTTCCCTAGGCAGATTAATTTATGCAAATGCTACCCTGTTCCTTTGCAGAAGTTCCTTAAATAGCAGCAAAGGGAACTTCTGGATTCCAGGGAGACGCCAGGTCTGGACTGCTTCACAGGGAAGAAAAGAAAGCTGGTTTCATGCCACTGCTGCTGTCATTGGAGGCCCCTGGGAGCTGAAAGCAATGGGAGGAAGGCATAGGCTCTTATTTCACTCTGGGAAGATCTGCTGGGGGAGAGTCCCTGAAAACATTTGCCATGATTCATCCTTAGCCTCTAGCATTCCCAGTCCAGCAAACAAGAGAGGCAGGAAACAGAGCCACCCTCAGGGGAACAGACATAAACTCTATCCTTTGCCTATGTGAGTTATCTCAGGTTAGATAAAACCCCGCTTTTAGGGACCCCTCTGTCACTGGGCTGTCAGAAGATAGCACCAGGTTAGCTCCAAGCAGATCCTGAATGTGCATTGGCCCTGGGCCCAGATGGAGGCCATGGTGGGGAGGCTGTCCAGTCACCTTCCCTCCATCTCCTGCCCCCCAGAACATCCAACAATTAATCCAGAGAACTGTACCAGCTCTGAATCCACGCACCCCGCAGGCACCTCCACTGTGCATATGGACACTGCCAGTGAAAAAGACTGAGGGTAGCAGAATACAGCATTTCTCTGGCCTCCTGCCTTCACCATGCAGTAAAAAACAGAGTCCAGGTAAGTGTTCAACAATTAGTAATGAAAATCTCTGCTAAACCACAAAATAGTCACCTTCTGCCAGTCATGCCTGATTTTTAAGTCCGATTCAACACCTTCCTTCTCCTTGACAATGGAAAGGCTAAGGCCTCCCCTAGCTGTTCCTTCCATGGAAACCTTGACACCTTGGGCATCACAGGCTGCTGTGGCTTCCCCACTGGCTTCCTGTTCCATGCAGATTCAGCCATAAATATCCTCATTGAGAACAGGTTCTCTAATAAGAGATGGAAATAACAAGGTGGCATTCCTTATTAACAAGCAGATGAGACGAGAACACCCAGGAGAATTGTGACCTTCCCAGCCAGAAGCAGCCTCCTTCCCCAACAGGCTCATGACTTGTTATCTCTCTCATTCATCCAAGCTCAAATGATTGTAGAAATTGTTGGTCTCTCCAACAAGCACCCAGCTGTGACAGCTGTGCCTTCTAGGACTGCCCCTTACCCTCTCACAAAGGAGTGGCTTTCCATTGGTGCCTGAACTACAGTTGCAGGCCAGACACTAGGCAAAGTGTGTGCTGAGCTGGTCCGCCCTCCTTGGCACAGAGCTTTGCAGAGCATACATTAATGGGAACAGGACACATCAGTCACAGGGCAGAGCTGAGAGTTCAGGGGACAATGGAACAGAGCAGCAAGACCTAAAGGAACCTAACCACACCCTTATCTAATAAGACCTCTGTGAAGTCTAGAGCTGTTGTAGCCAGTTCTGTGGTGACAACTGGCTGTGGATTGTGAGAAGAACCATACCTTGCCCATTTACCACCTGCACTGAACACAGTTCACTTTATATCCCTTAAAGATCCATAACTTAGGTGCTCAGAGATCTTACTCGCTGCTCCTCACATTTAGTCATTAAGCTACCCTAACTGGAACTTGGAATTTTCATTATGTGAAAATCCTGAAAAATCTAAAAGAGACAAGTCACACCATGCCCTGATTCATATGCAAATAGAGGATGCTGGCATTTCAAAACCTGCAGACAGAGAACAGTAAGACATGAGAACAACCAACAAACAGAATACAGAGGCTAAGGGTGCGGAGAGGAATGACAGCCAGAGAATTCACAGAAAATGCTGACCACCTGAATCCATGATGGAGAAGACCCTCATGTGACCGATTGCAAATGCAGCTTCTTTGTCCTGAATCTTAATAAATGAAGACAATTGCCGTATCTTCTGAACAGCATCCCTGCCTGCATCTAACTTGTTCTTCGCCCCATTGCCTGCTGCCATTTTGCTTTAAGTCTTCAAGATTTGCAATGGTGGTGTCCTGTATTTGTATGTGATTCAGGATCCAGTTTAGAATCTTCAGGATCCCCCCTTACTCTGATTCATGCCCCCAGCCCTACTCTTATGGCTGCTCCTATGCCTCAGTGGCCTTCCTGGTCTGTACACCTGGCCCTCCAGCTAACTCACACCATACCAGCTTCCAAGATACTATCCAACCATGACTTACTAAAGCAAGCTTTTTCTTCCCTTCCTGCCATGCTGTTTCAACTCCCCTGTCAAGTTGACTACACTCTTCTCTGCCCTGTGGACTGTGGACTGCAGTCATAGCTTACCTTATTATGTTTGAATGCTGTGTTGTTAATTCTTGGAGTCTAAGCCCTTGTCTTATCAAAGTTAACTGTGCCTGCTCTCTGGGTCTTTTTCATATGATCGTGGTACACAAGGATGCCGGTAAAGAAAATCAGTATCCTGGAGCATATTTAATACTCCCCAAGGCCTAATCACATCTGAGATGCTCTGCATAAAAGGCCCTCTGTATTTGAAAGAGTAAGTCAATAACTATCTATAAGATTAAGAGATTTTTGGAAGAAGGCTAAAAAAAATTACCTTGGAAATCAATGAAAGGAACAGTCAGAGAAGAAACATAAGACTCTGACACTAGCAGAAAAATAAGTTCATGGATTGTTTGCCCACATGGTCAAGACCTCTTTGACCAACATGGCCCTAGTCTCAATTCTCAACTTGGCTTTCCATCACTGCTTTCCACCTCTCTGGCCAGCAGCCAGGCCAGACTCTGCCCACGGCTTCTGCTTGTGCTGGCTTCTCTCCCCAACATTCACCTTCTCCACTCATGCCAACCTCTAGGAGCACAGTTGCCCCTTCTCCAAGACGAATGGGCAGACTTCCTCCACTGTGCCCTGAGCAACCATGGTCTTTCCTCAGTGTTCCTTAAAGGGCCTGTCTTCACATCATCTAGGCTCTTACTTGCTTGTCTCTTCCACCCTTTCAATGGAGTATAAATTCCATGTGGTAAAAAAATAAACAAATAAATTCTTCCTCCTTGTAGTTCCCTCTCTATAACCCAGATCCTCCATGAGTATGTGTCACATTGAGCTGAAGCTCCTCCATGACTATGGGAAAACCCATTTGACAGAGGAGGCAGAAGTGTTTGTTGTGAAGCCCAGTGACTCTGCCTGCTGTATACTGACTAGATAGAAATGTCCCCTTGAACACCCCAGGGAAAGTCCTCTCTGTATTTCACAGCTCATACATCAGATGATCCAATCCTCTCTAAAGCTAGATCTACTATCCTCTACCCATCGCTGAATTGAAACGTTGTACTGTGAGGTTGGCCTATAGGCTTGGACATAGGTAACTGAGAACATCAGAGAGAAACAAATAAGTAGATTGGTGTGTGGGAAGGGAAAGGCCCAGTTCTGTATGGCAGAAGCAAGGGCCTGGAGAGCTTCAGTGTGGGCTGTGTGTGGAGGGCCCTTGTGAGCAATGAGGGCACTGTGTTAAGGGTGAAACTGCTCACCCACCAGCATCCTCAGGACCCATCTGTGCTCAGAACTTCCCTTTCATGTATCTTAATTTCAGAAAGGGCAGAATACAGAGAGGAATCAGTAGTACCTAAGAGCAAGTGAACAAATGCTGACCTCCTGAGAGCCCCCTCACCCTGAACCATAGGCTACCAGGAGGACTGTGTCCTGGGGACCTCACGTGCTGAAATCCAGCCCCTGGCAAAAGTCACCTTCCTCTTCCTGCCAGTACCGTCCAAACAATGTCTACAGGGGAAAGATCATGGCAATGTGGTTGAGGAAAAGCATAAACCCTGCACATATTCCTTTTGCATTCCCCCAAGAGTTCTTTATCTTCATTAGCGTGCTCAGCCAAGCACTTCCCCATTTTTGCTAACCTGTTGGACACATTCCCATGTTCAATACTTCAAGACTGCAGTATTGGTCCCTATTGTAAGGAGGACCTGCCTCCATCTCCCCCCACCTCAAAGGTCCTCAGACTGTCTGCCACAGACTCCTCATTGCTTTGTCTGCTTCTGTCTTTGGAGAACAAAATTACTGGTAGTGCTTTATTGCTGAGACATTGCTGGAAGTTTCCACTGATTGGCAGTGTTTTCATGCAGCATTGAACAGCAAATTTCCTGACTAATGAGGTCTACCTTCTCCTCTCATAGGCCCAGAAGAAGCACAGGAAGTTCACCAAACCCAACAGAGCACACCACTCCTATGAGAAGAAGCCTCATTATGCTCCTTCACCCACTACCACTGCATCTAGCCATGCACCGGGCATCAGAGAGCCAACCCCATTCACAGTGCCCAGCCGGAGGAGTTTGCCTCCTGAGCAGCAGCAGGAATGTGCCAGACTAGCCAGTAGCATCCCTTGCCCTCCCTGGTCTTTCCAGAGAAGCAAGTCCTTGTTTTGTTTGCCCACCCAAGGCCCCTCCCCAGTCTCTTCAGCTGAACCACAGTGGTTTTCTAACATCGATGCCCCAAGCCACAGGGCATCAGAGAGGAAGCCTGGTCCCCTCTTCTCCATTGATGATTTAGAGGGGGCCCAGGAGACAGATGTAGACACAGGCCTGCGGCTGTCCTCCTCCGACCTATCAGTGGTCTCAGCATATTCTGCCCCAAGTACATTCTGCAGTTCTGTGGAAACTTCCCTGTCTTCTGAAAGATACAACAGCCACAAGCCAGCGCACAAGGATCCCAGAGAAGAAAGACCTCTACCTACAGCCAGTGGGATGACCCCAGAATCCTCATGGACTCCCCTCCCCTTCCTCACCAAAGGGTCTGCCAGCTCCTCAGAGACAGCCATCACTGCCCCCCCAGCTTTCAGTGCCTCGTCTCTCAGAGAATCATCCACACAGCTCCCTTCTGATGCCCCCAAAACTACAAGGGCTGACCAAGATACACCACCAGCACCAGCAGCAGCAGCAGCAGTGGCTGACGTGGAGGAGTTCTACATCTGATCATGGCTTGTCTTCCAAACACAAACTCAGACCCACAGGCTCAGGTCCCCCGGTGTTCTCAGCCTGGATTTCCAGGTCTGTCTGGAACACGTTAATCCGTTTCCGGGGGTTTATTAGCACAGAGGCCCTGCCACGCCTCCTTAGCTGAGACAATGTATTTCTAGGGATGTGGTGGAAAAAAATATTGACATTTCTATGCAAATAAGTTCCCCACAAACTTAAGTCCTAAAATATATTTTGAATATTCCATTATACAATTTAAATGCTTTGTATAATTATTTAAGATGAAGAGAAAACCCAGTCAGCCAGAGCTGATTTGGCAAATGTTTCATGCTGTGAAAGTGAAACAATTAAAGCCAACATGTTGAATGTGGGAGAGAAAGCAAGTGACTTCTAAGAGCTATCCAAGCACAATGACAGAAAGTACGGCTTATTGGAAGTCCCCCCTCCCCCATAGATTTATATTTCCACAGGACAATGGCCCTAGAAATTTGCAAGTCTTGCTTAGAGCTGACAGGCAGCCTAAGATGGCTGTCAGCTTACATCAGACTGCAAAATTCCTCCCTTCAAAACCCCTGCAACATACGAAAATCTGGATTTGGACCAAAGTGGCTAATATGCTTTGAAGAATTTAGCATGAGTCACAGATTCCTGGTGCAGTTAAATAATTTCAGTTCTCAAACCTAGATTTGCAAATACTTTTTCCAACAACACATTCACTGCCATGAATGATGGGCTGAAGATCAGTCCACCATCTAGGCTGATTTCGATCACCCAGACAGAAGTATAATAGGATGTGAAACATAATGGTTAGACCGGCTTCATAAGACTCTTCCACTTTCAAAAGCACAATCCAAGGGCCACATCCATAGCTCTGTAAGTGACAGGAGCCACATGTTCTTCATTTTTTTAATAACTTGGAATGTTTCAGCCAGTGTTTTCTGATTGCACAGATGAGCAAAAGTGTCACCCTTCTCCCAAAGTGGGAAGCCACCCAAAATACTCTTTCTGAGCGAACACTGGTACCCTGCTAGCCTTCATGAGGACATGGGAGCCTTAATTAAAGCTGATGCTTTAACCCAACATTGGCTTTTCCAGTCTATTGTCCTATTCTGCCACCCTGTGAATGGCATTTAAGTCTCCCTGTAAGGATATGTTTACAACTGCAACATTAGCAATGCCAAGTGCTAGCATCAGGGGCAATGCCAAGCTGTCCCTGATGCTATTTAATATTTACAGAAAAACAACATGGACCTGCGTTGTTCATTTACCAGCCTGGTGCTCCTTGCCTGAATTACTCATGAGCCACGTTTCTTCTCTGGAAGTGCTCACACCAGCTGTCACATGGCCTCCAGGCTGCTGTTATCAGTCATCAAACTTGAGCTGCAACCTAAGGTTGGCCACCCTGTAGCAAGGGCTTTAGATCCTTCCTCAAACACCCTGGACGTCCCAGGACTTGGGATTGTAATATTCTGCTCCAATGTAAATAAATTTTTTTAAAGAAAATACATGGTCTCTTCTAAATTCAAGGCCATGAGTGAGCAGACTTTTTCTGAAAAGGGCTAGATAATAAATGTTTTAAACTTTGTCAGTAATATTTTATTCTTTGTCAGTCTCCACTTCCATTGTTGCATGATAAATAAAATGTAAATGAATGGGAGTGGCTGAGTTGCAATAAAACTTAATTCAGGAGCTGGGAAGGTAGTCCAGCAGTAGAGTGCATGCCTTGCAAGCATAAGGCCCTGGGTTCGATTCCTCAGCACCACATAAACAGAAAAAGCTGGAAGTGGAGCTGTGGCTCCAGTGGTAGAGCGCTAGCCTTAAGCTGAAGAGCTGAGGGACAGTGCCCAGACCCAGAGTTCAGGCCCCATGACCAGCAAAAAAAAAAACCTTAATTCACCAGTGCAAGTGGTAGATCAGAGTTGACCTAAGAAGTAGTTGACCAGTCCAGATTCTAGTCCACAACAAAAATTTAAGTTCTGCTCCCCATTCTGCTGTTCTGTGTAATAATACCAAGAACATGGGCCTCCTGGGCCAAGCCAATGACCACAGACCCTTGAAGTGCTCAGAACAGAAAGGAGAAGCTTTCTCCAGAGCTGATTCCTAGAAAACAGTCAGCAGCCCACCTCCTCCCTAGAAATGTGACTCCAAGTCAACAGCATATGAATGTTATAAGGAAAAATAAAAATTTAGAGATGATGACATACAGTCTAGAGAACAGGGAAGCAAGCCCATGTAGCAAAAGGCAATGAAGTGGATCAAATGCCTAGTGATGATTCCCATCTTCATCCTTAATGGCACTCCTATTTTAGCATATTTGCATACCTTGTTAGGATTGTTGTAGAGCCCAACCCAGTGGGTCAGTGGGGACCTGAGATAATGATGAGACTTTTGTGACCCTGAGAGAGTTGGCACATGGTAAAACAAATGGGGTTTTACTTGAGCCCCAAGCTATTAAAGTCAGTGGGTGAGGTGGCCTTCACAGTGGCATACTGGATCACGCCATCGAGGGTATCTCGGAGACCAGATACTTACTTTTAGCAGAAAGACCCTGGGATATATGGCTGATGTCTTTAGCCTCCAAAGAAATCAGAAGACATGCAAGTGTTTTCCTGGCCCTGTACTTTCTATAGCTGAATTCTCCAACTGTCAGTCCTTCTCTATTAGTAAACTCAGAAGTCTAGGAGCTTAAGAGCAAGTACAACAACCACTGGAGACCTGGGGAGGAAGAGGGAAAGGGAAGGGAGAAAGGAGGCCATACTGAGGGGAGAATAGGAGTGAGAGATAATCAGCATAAGAAACCATCAAGTGTTGTTTGAAAAGAGGTTGTTGAAGACAGGTGAGCAACGTGAATACAATAAAAGGGGTGAATTCATAAAATATGCACTGTGTGCATGTATGGAAATGTCACAGTGAAACCCCCTCACAACTGTATCTTAACTCAAAAATAAAATGACTTTTTTAATGTAAAGAGAACAAATCTTGCCTAGAACTTAAACAAGCTTTTGAATGCTCCCATTTGGTTCTGTATATTCACAAGAGAAATAAAGCATCCTTTTGTCAGAAAAAAAGAGAGAAGAAAAAAGAGAAAAGGAAGGAAGGAAAGAAAGAAAAAAGGAAGGAAGGAAGGAAAGAAAGAAGGAAAGGAAGGAAGGAAAAGAAAGAGAAAGGAAAGAAAGAGAGAAAGGAAAGGAAGAAAGAAAGAAAGAAAGAAAGAAAGAAAGAAAGAAAGAAAGGAAGAAAGAAAGAAAGAAAGAAAGAAAGGAAGGAAGGAAGGAAGGAAGGAAGGAAGGAAGGAAGGAAGGAAGGAAGGAAAGAAAGAAGGAAGGAAGGGAAAGAAAGAAATAGAAAGAAAAAGAAAGATAGACTGGGGCTGGGAAGGTGTCTCGGTGATAGAATTCTTGCCTAGCATGCATGAGGCCCTGGGTTCGATTCTTCAGCACCACATAAGGAGAAAAAGCCGGAAGTGGTGCTGTGGCTGAAGTGGTTCAGCATCGAGCTGAAGAGCTCAGAGACAGTGCCCAGGCCCAGAGTTCAGGCCCCACGACTGAAAAAAGAGAAAGAAAAGAAAAGGAAGGAAGGAAGGAAGGAAGGAAGGTTACTCAGTGGTAGAGTACCTGCTTATCACACAAAGTCCTGGGTTTGACCTCAGCATAAGACAGAGAGAGAGAGAGAGAACCTCAATTTCTACTTTGGATGGTAACAACTATTGTCCAAAGATGTGCCACAATTAGGAACAATATACTCCTTGCAGGCAGAAGTACTAGAATAATATGTGACAGAATGTTCCTACATGATTGATGACATCCTTCCCATCCATTTGGTACAAAGTCCTCACCTCCAGGTGCCTAGAGCCCCCATCAGCCTTATTCTAGATGGTAGAAGCCCTGTCCAATTGGGGACATTCCTGATCTTGAGTGTGTGAAAGTCACGCTCACCCCTTAATTCAGTTCTATTAATCTCTAGATTCAAAGCACCCCAAATGTGTGTGGTACTATCCTAGAAATGGCCGCTGAACAGAAACACTTCCAGGCCATAGTGGGTCACTGGAGATGGCTATGAGAAGACTTTGGTGCCACCTGGTGGCCGCTATGTCCAGGAGGGTCAATAACAGCCCTCTTCCATCAAAAAGATTCCATTTGACTTCCTTTCATTATCCCAAGTTTCATTTTTCTATTTTGTTTACTTCTAAAGAGCATTGAGACGACTTAAATTACAGTGAGATAAAATAACGTGAACAGAAATAGAAAAGTCAGATTAAAGAATAGAATGGGGTTAAATGCTGCAGTTGACTGTCCAGGAAGCCAGGGGGAAAAGGGAAAGGCGATTGTCTTTATAGATCTCATTCAGGTCCAGAGAATCCTATTTCATTGTGATTTAAGTTGCCTCAATGCTATTTTTCCAAAAGCTGATTTCTAAAAGTATCTTCTCATCAGGAAAGATTCATTGGGGATTTTCTCTGGTCCAAGTTTATGGCTTTTCAACTTGGAGTGTGGAAAGGAGAATATTTAGAGGGCAGGGTACCCACCCCAAGTACTCTGGACTTGGTCCTGAGATCTCCACCCATCATCCTGTAGAGAGAGGAGGAAACTCCTGGTGTGTGGGAAGGGTGAGGCTGGTTTTCCACATTCTGAAGCTGCATGGCCAACTTGGATTTTCTTCCCCACCCCCACCCCCACCCCAAGAAAAGGCTTCCAGTGTAGTGAAGGCTTTCAGGTAAGATGAGTCTCCTCATCTTCCCCAATCTTCAATGACATGCCTGAAAAAACATAAGAATTCCAGTGTCAGAAACTCTTCCTTAGCCAGGCACAGCTACTCAGGGGGCTGAGATCTGAGGATGGTGGTTCGAAGCCAGATGGGGCAGAAAAGCCTGTGAGACTCTTATCTCCAATAAAGTATTCAGAAAAAGCTGGAAATGATGCTGTGGCTCAAGTGGTAGAGGACTCAGAGACAGTGCCCAGGCCCTGAGTTCAAGCTCCAGGACTGGCAAAATAAAAGAAAGGAGGAGGGGGAGGAGAAGGAAGAGGAAGAAGAAGGTAACTCTTCCCTCTTCCTTCATTGCTTTGAATAGATTTGCATATTGTCCTTCATGCAACATTCAGCCAGTAGTTATTATGTCCCAGTGTGCATCAGGCAGCCAGCCAGGTATTGAAAGGAACAGACATACCACCCTTGAGGAATTACTCTTCTTCTGCCAACATTATTATTTACTATTTTTCCATCCATTTTAACATCTTCCTGGTAGAGCGAATGAAATTTACCTCAGAGTCACAGCCTCACATTTTGACACTAAATAGACTTGATTCCTAGTTCTGACTCTCATTTGCATTATGGCTGAGTTATTTCGTTTCACCATCCATAACAAATGGACAGAGCTCTTTATTTTGGAGAGTCATGAAATTTTAATTAAGTAATTTGTGCAAAAGATCCAAGACTACCTCTCAGTGCTTCATAAATGCTGATGTTCTTTTCTTTCTTTTCTGGTGTTCTAATCTTTCCCTAAAGAATAACCGTACCTTCCATCCAGCAGGTGCCATGCTATGCCATTCCAGACTCCTGTGAAGAGTCAGGCAAAGTTTTGCTTCAGCCAGTTCTCTTCCCTCTTCCCCTCTACCATCTCCAGGTAGAATTCACCCACCAGGAAATCATATGTGCTGATCACCTCACCATCCACTAACCTCCCACACCTCCCTGATTTTCTCCTCCATTTCCAGCTACCACCCACAAAGCCAGGCCCTGAGATGTGTTACCATTCTAAACATCTTGCTTGCAAATCTCCAGTTCTGAGCTCCCCTTCCCTAATCCCTTTCCTCTTGCTTCCTGACCCATCAGTTCATCAGCCTGTGAAACCTGCTTTACTGCTGGTCAATTTCTCTGCCTACTCTAGAGTCCA